TTTCCTCATCTGTAAAATGAGCTGGAGAAGGAAATGGCAAACCACTCCAGTATCTTTCCCAAGAAAACCCTAAATGGAGTCAGTCACAAAGGGTCAAATATGACTGAAAAGCAACTGAATGACAACAAAGGTCTCTCCTAGCTCTACAGCTATGATTGAATGATCCCTGCCTTCTCTGGCTTTGTGAGTGTGGTAAAAGATTCAGTAATGATTCTACTAGCAACAGAATCTCTAGAGACGGGTGAGGTAGTGGAAAGTGCTAAGGAGTCTGACCCAATCAGATCTGGGGGTAGATCCTCAGTTCTTTCATCTACTAGCCTTGAGCAAGTCAATTGCTTTCTCCGAGCCTCAATTTCTTGACCTATAATATGGGAATACTATCAGGATCTGGGATTTCATTGATGTAAAAATCCTTCAGTGACAAAATTCTTTCTATCAGTGCAGCTCTGCAATAGGCCTGCAGTTTACAATATGAGTATTGTTTGGGGAATTGAGAAAAATAAACTGACATGCCCAGGCCCAGGGTTACACAGGTAGAATATGTTAGAGACAAGATTTAACACCTGGTCATTGTAACTCCAAAGCTGGCTCACTATCCACACAAGACAATATCATTGCTAGGGATCTCCTAAAATGATGGATATGAAGAGCATGGCAAATGTAAGCTAAATTAATCTAGAATAACAAACCCAGCCACTAACTGCCTGGGACTCTGTTATTCAAATGGGTTTAACACACACACACACACACACACAAAATAAACAAATAGTGTGAGAAGAATGAGAATGAGAGAGCCAAAGGCAAGATTTAGGATATGGGCTTTCTAGGAATGCCAAGAGAGGTAAGGATGCCCTGCAGTCTCTGGATAATTCACATATGTCATCACAACACAGAGAGACTTAACATCCCCAGGGAAATGCTTACACAGAAAGGTCACCAAGGTAAAATCCAGGCATCTAACAAAATGTTTTGAAAGCCTACTGCATGTGAAGCAGAATGCTTGAGGCTGGGCCCTAGCAGCCCTAATTAATCCCAGGCCTTTAATCATCCATCATTAGGCCCATAATTGAGGACAGGAAGAAGAGGGAGTGGAAAGGAATGAACATATTCATTAGCCTTGGGTTCATCTTGTGGAGATGCTTCAAAAAAAATCTGAACAATTTCCATCTGTTGGGAACTGCAGTTGCTGAAATTAGGAAAATTATTTAACTGGAGGGAGGAATAGCACTTGACTAAAAGACTTCAGAAGATCTGGTTTCTAGTCATAAGATCTCAAGGGTCTGGAAGGCCATCTATTCCAACCCATAAATGCCTGGCACATTGGTTGATTAGTTATTGTTTTTCATTCTTGAAGAAGACCAAAATGATATCACTATGTTGGGGTCAAGGTACAGTGTTGCCCAACTGTGACTGATCAGACCAATACAATCTCAGAAGGTTCTATCACACAGGTCCGGCACAAATAAAACATTTGGAGTGGAGATATCTCTAAATTTGCACATCTCATCTTTTTTTTTGAGCTACCACGATTGAAACATAAGTGCTGTAAGTGGCTGGCACATGGTAGACCCTTAATAAATGTTTACTGATTGATTGATAAATGCCCTTCCAAAAATCCCTAAAGATGTGGTTATCCAGCCTCTATCCAAAGGCTGCCATGAAGAACCTGCTATACCTCTGAAGGCAGGGTATTCTGTTTTTTGAAAGGCATTATAAAATGCTTTACTGAAATCCAGATGTACTATGTCACAGAAGATTAGTGCTACAAGGGACCTTAGAGATGAAGTTGACTCTGAAAACTTAACTTGCTCTACTGATAAATGTGTGTGTGTGTGTGTGTGTGTGTGTGTGTGTGTGTTTTGCCCCCACACTGTTCCTTTTCTTGAGAGATTATGAACCTGAGGGCCTGGAAGGATGGCAGCATTTGACAGTAATAGGGAAGGTCGAAGAAGGATAGGTTTTGGGAGGAAAGATGGTAAACTGTTTTGAACCATTGAGCTTCAGAGCCCAACAGGACATCCAAATGAAAATATCCAAAAAGCAGTCATGATATGGGACTGACACTCAAGAGAGAAACTTGGAGTGGTTTTATAGAACTTGGAGTTTATGGAGTGGATTTATAGATTTAGAGAACTCAGAGAAAAATGAACCTATGGGACCTGATGAGATCACCAAATGAGAGAGCATGAAGAAAAAACAAGGACAGGGCCTTGGAGTCTACCCACAGTTAGTGAATATGACAGAGATGATGAACTAGCAAAGAAGAGTAAGAAGGAGAAAGGCCAAATAAAAAGAGGTCACAAAAAGTAAGAGAGGGGACAATATTCAAAAGGAGGAAAGTGCTGCGGAGGCAAAAAAGGACAAGCATTGGTAAAATGCCATCAAACATTGCAATTAAAGGATTATAGATAATTTTGGAAGGAATAGTTTTGGTTACATGGCCTTAGACACTTACTAGGTGTGTGACCCTGGACAAGTCACCTGTTTGCCTCAGTTTCTTCATCTGTAAAATGAGTTGGAGAAGGAAATGGTAAACCACTCCAGTATCTTTGCCAAGAAAACCCCAAATGGGGTCATGAAGAGTCAAACATGACTGAAAATGATGGAATAGTAACAAAAATAATATATGTAGAGAGTGAAGATTACATACTATATATTACATATAAAATACAATATGAGAGAGACATAGAGAGATAGAGCCAGAGAGATGAAGTAAAGATGATGGTCAGGACAAGTTTGTAAGTGTCAAAGATCTAAGATTCTATTTTTTTTTAGTTCAACAGTTCTAAGCCTGCATTCATTAACACCTCCATTGTGTTCTCAATTATTTCAAGAAATGCCCAAATACTGCCCCTCCTCCCCAAACAAAAGCTAAATTTCATACTACTTTTTTCCTGGAGGGGGGTCAGAGTGAGAGTGAGGTATAATAATAACTCACATTGACGCTCACCATCTATAACACCTTTTCACACAACCAGCATGTGAGCTAATGTAGGCACTATAAGTATCTCCATTTTATAGATGATGAAACTGAGGCTCAGACAAATAAAGTGACTTGTTCACAGTCACCTCACCAAAAACAGGCAGTCAGGATTCAGATTGTATTGAATTCCAATTCCAGGGCTCTTTCCCTTACATCATGCTGATCTCCCAAATTTCTCTAAGTCTAGAAATCCCAGTTCTAGTTCCACAGAGAACAAAAGAAGTATTTAACTAGATAAACAATCACTTCAGACCCCCCCCACCCTTACCCCCAGGGTGGCTACACAAAACAGAAAGTCACAAGTTCCATTTCTGATTCCATCTCAAAGACCTTATCTGAGTCACCTGGCACCTTTGTCCCTACAAGTTGAAAAAGCTCTGCCTGGTTTCTACCAGAGAGTATGATCCCTAAGCATCAATTACGTAGTCAAGGTGATAATTAAACTCTTGGACATTACCACCAAGGAGGCTGTGACATTTCTGGTCCCAAAGATTTTCGCAAATAGACCCTTGAGTTGTCCATAGCATTGGTTAATCATCCCATTTAATCTGGAAATAGGAAACTAGACTACATAACATCACCAGTTTTCTTCTACCTGAAGGTATATTCAAGGTTGACGTGGGTCTGGGACAAGGTGAGTGAGGAAATGCAAGGCTAAGGAAGAGAGGACTACTTAGCATAGGCACTTAATAAATGTTTATTGATGGAGAGAATAGTAGAAAGGCTGGTGTAGCAGAGAGCCCTGGATTCCAATTCTTTGTGCCAGGCCTGGCTCTACTTCGTATTAGCCATGTGGCTCTGGCCAAGTCATCTCCCTTCTCAGGGATTCTGTTTCCCATAGTGAAATGAGGAGGCTGGACTAAATGTCCTCCACGGCCCATCCAACTCTAAATTCAACCATCTTTTGGGGATGTTGGCAAGGGAGTGCTTTTTTGGGGCATAGGTTGGACTAGGAGGTCTATGAGATCCTGAGATTCTGTGGTCCCATGAGATAGCAGTACTGACCTGGGAGTCGGATGACTCAGAAGACAGAAGGCTCTTCTCTGAATGGCCTATTTCTGTATTATTTTAGTCACACCCATGGCTATGCATCAGGAGACTTGTATTCAAGCTCTTCCTTTACCACTAAGTTTTTATTTGACTTCCAAGAAGTCGCTTGACCTCCATGGGATTGTTTCCTCATCTGTAAAATGGGGCTAATTTCCAGGAAACCAACATAGTATCATTTAGTATCAAATAAAACAATAGGTCTAAAACACTTTGTAACTATAAAGTGCTATTTAAAGGTTAATCATTAGTGGATTCACCTGCCTTTGTCTAATTTCTTTTTATGAAAAATTGGGATGGGAACACTCCTACCTTAAATAAGGGGTGTGTGTGTGTGTGTGTGTGTGTGTGTGTGCGCGCATGTGCGCGCGTGCATCTAGAAATGGTCAGTGAAGTAAAGAGAGTGCTGGGCTGGAGAGAGGAAGATCTAGATTCCAGTCCCAACTCTGACTGCTGCTGTGGCAACCATGAGCAAGTCACTTAACTTTTCTGAGATTCTGCTTCCTCCTCCCTAAAATGGTGATAATAATACTGGTCATACTATCTCCCAAAGCTTTCATAAGAGAGGTCTGCAACACACTCTGCAAACTATCAAGGGTTGAATAAAGGTGAGTGATCATTATTATTACTAAGGAATCACCTTCCTTTGCTTTAGTTTCTTCATCTGTACAATGGGGGCAATAACCCCTTCCTCATGCAGATGCTGAGAGAATAAAATGATCAGACTGCTCACCTCTGCATGCTTAAAAGCAGAAGCAAAAAAAGGAAAGACATTTAGGAAGAAATGGAAGGTAGGTGATCTATCACACTGAGGAAGAAAGGGAAATTGTCAGTCTTTGAAGAAGAAAGAAGGAGTCAGTCAATAAGATATCACCCAGAAGACACAGTGGTAACCCACACACTGCACACCTCCCTCGCCCGAACCCCAGACACTGCATCCCAGAGCTCCAAACACAGCATGCCTCTCTACCTGGAGCCAGCTCCTTGACCGGATGTGGCGGCTTGTTACCTAGAAAGGGACAGAGGATGGTCACACGCTGGGAAGAGAACTAAAATCACCATGACACATCATTTCATTAACAGTGCCTGCACAAGGTTAATGCTTTAAAAAAAAAAAAAAGGACAAAACCTGGCTGGCTTTCTTGAGATCTACTTAGTTGATGAGAGAAAATGATATTAGTGGCAAAAATGGGCCTTGAAACCAAGTCTCTTTGGTGAGACTAAAATAATGCCAGGTAAACAAGTACAAAAGATTTGTCCCCCTCCCACCGCCACCCACCACAAGCAAATATACAACCACCACAAAGAGAATCTCAAGGGTAGAGAGAAAATAAGAGAAGGTAGTGAGAGATCAATATTTTACACCATGTACCAAGATAAGGTCAAAATGGATACCTAATCTAGATATAAAGAGAGGTGTTACAAGAAAATTTGAAGAAGATGAAACATATTACTCATCAGACTTATGGACAGGTGAACAATTTATGAATAAACAAGAGATAGACAGCAGTGAGGTATAAAATGGATAATTTTGATTACATTAAATTAAAAAGGTTTTGTACAAATAAAACAAATGTAGCCAAGATCAGAAGGAAAACAGAAAACTGGGGGCAAAATTTTTATAGACAGTTTCTCAAATAAAGGTCTCATATCTCAAATATTAAAGAACTTTGTCAAATCTAAGAATACAATTCTCCAACTGATAAATGGTCAAAGGATATAAGCAAGCAGTTTTCCCATGAAAAAATCAAAATTTATAACCATATGAAAAAATGCTCTAAATCATTATTGATTAGAGAAATGCAAATCAAAACAACCTTGAGATATCATTTTATACCCGTCAGACTGGCTAAAATGATTGAAGGGGAAAGAGAGGAATGTTAGAGGGAATGTGGAAAAATTGGGACACTAATTCATTGTTGGTGGAATTGTGAACTGATCCAACCATTTTGGAGAGCAATCTGGAATTATGCCCAAAGAGTTATTAAACTGTCTATACCCTTTGACCCAATAATATCACTACTAGGTCTATTTCCAAAGATGATTAGGGAAAAAGGAAAAGAACCTGTATGTTCTAAAATATTTATAGCAGCTCTCTTTGTGGTGGTGAAGAACCGGAAATTGTAGGGATGCCTATCGATTCAGGAATGGTGAACAAGTTGTGGTATATGATTGTGATGAAATATACTGTTATAAGAAATGATGAGCTCAATGATCTTAGAAAAACTGGGATAAACTTGCACAAAATAATGAGGAGCGAAATGAGCACAACCAAGAAAACATTTGTATACAGTAATTAGAATATTGTTTTAAGAACAACTTTGAACACACAAGTCATTTTGACTATTACAAATATCCTAATTAACTACAAAGGACTGGGGGGGGAAGAAGACTCGGGAAGAGACAGAAGGAAAAAAAAAGAAATTTACATGATAACTTTATTATATATTTAAAAGAAATAGTAAGTTGTACATAATAAATTTGCAGTTTCATGTTTAATCATCTTTTTAAAAAAATTATACTACACTATAGAAATGTCTTATTCCATAAATTAAAAATAAAACAAATAAAAATTAAAAAGAAGGTAGTGAGAACTTATTTTTCTATTATATTAATAACTGATCATTAAATTAGGATCCAGGCTTTTTTTCCTCTTTTTCTTCACTAAGACCGAGCTCCTGTGAAAGGTCAGCCTCTGAAGGACATGGTTAATTGGGATTACCCCTAACCCTCAGGGAACATGCTTCCACCCAACTAGGAAACCTTACTTCTGTTTACAGAATGTAAACAGAATCCAGTCTAAGCGAGTTATTATCCAAAGGAAATGAGCTCCTATCCTTGTACCCGTCCACTACAGTTTAGGGTGACCCAGCTCATGAAGGAGAAAACCAACCAGAGTGGTCTGGATGGAGGTGGATTCCTCTGTCCAGACTGCTGGAGGCAGCTGCAACTCATGATCAAGCCACATTCTGAGCAGGAAGAGCTGAGGGCTTCTGGCCCACCTCCTCATTAAACGTCCACCAATCAGGGTGATTTTTCATTTGTCAGGGGCCTTTAAGGCATTCAGTGCCTCCACCGGCTGTCTTTGAGAGAAACCACTGAGCATCAACTTATGGATTATTAACTAGCCTAATTGATAAATTGATTATTAATTATTCAGAAACTGTGTCTCAGATTTTCATGTGTAACAGTAGAGAGAGCAGAGAAAGATAGCAAGGAGGTCTAAGGAATAGCTGTTTGGGAATCACCCACACTAAGGGGTAAGGACAATGACCAGTTGGGGGGGGGATCATTAGAGAGGGAGAAAGAGAGCCAAGAGAGTGTGGTATCTTTGAAGCCAAGATGGAAAAGAATATCCAGCTGGAAGGGACAGTCAATCAATCAACAAGCTTTTTATCATGTACCAGGGGATACAGAGACAAAAGCCAAACAGTTCCTGCCCTTTAAGAGTTCACATCTAGCCAGGAGACACATATACAAATAAAGGTACGTACAAAATAAGACACAAGTCATTTATGAGGGAGGGGATTAGAGATGTGAGAAGGTCAGGCAACGCTTGATGAAAAAGGCAGCATTTGAGCGAAGTCTTGAAGGTAATTTGGGCTTATGGGAGCAGTAAAGAGGGAGTACATTTCAGGCATGGGGTTTAGTCAACACAGAGGCACAGAGATGGGCAGGAGGCACAGTTGAAGGGAGACCAACAAAAGACCCTTGGATTTTATGTCAATGGCCTCTCAGAGAAATAACACTCCAAACGGGACTAACACCTGAGCTTCCTTTGTTCCTACTTTGGTACTCTTTGCACAATACCTTATTGCCAAGGCCTGGCACAAGTGCTCGCTTCTCTCCTGTTTAGTTATACAACCATAATTTTAGCCACCTAACTTGTTTGGCCCTCAATTATGTCACCTGACCCAAATATTTAAGTATAATATTTTGGGAAGAATGCTAGATTTGGAGTTAAAATCTGCAGAGTAGTCCTAGCTCAAACTTGGGCTCATTTTGGCAAAGTCACAAGTTTTGTGAGACTCAGTTTCCTTATCCACAAAATGGGAAGATTATGATTTTGCTCTACCCTACCAACCTCCCTGGAGATATTGTGAGGATCAACTTAAGTAATGGATGGAAAAGTGCTTTATAAACTGTAAAATAGTCTGCAAACATATACTAGACTATCTGTTATTGTAATTATTACTGACTGACATGGAATCCACCCAAAAAGCAACCAGGGTGATGAAGAGTTTGAAAAATAATAATAGTAGCAATAATAGTAATAATAATAACTAGTATTTATATAGCTCCTACTATGTGCAGCTATGCAAGGAGCTTTACAAATATTATCTTACTCGATCTTCACAACCCTGGAAGGTAGTAGGAGGTGCTATTAACATTCTCATTTGACAGTTGAGGTAGCAGAGGCAAACAGAGATAAAGTGCTTGCCCAAAGATACACAATTATCACTTAGCCCCAATTGCCTTAAAAAAAAAAAAAGACACAATTAGTAAGTGTCTGAGGCCAGATTTTGACTCAATCTTTTTGACTCCAAGCCCAGCACTCTATCCACTGTGTCAACTAGCTGCCTCTATGAACAATGGTTGAAAGAACTGGGAGTGGTTAGCCTGGAGAAGGTAAGACGAAGGCAAACATGAAGGGAAGATGAAATAGAGGATGATTTTAAACTGTATCTAAGCAAGAGAATGACCTAAGGCCCAGGTGAGGTTGGTGATTTTATACCCACCTCAATTCAAACACGAATCGCGACATGGGAATAATCTCACAGCAGGGCCCTGCTAGCTTGGGGACCTGCTAAGAGGCTGGAGAGCCTGTTGGGAACTGTCAGATTTCTAAGAATTTGGAGGATTAGGAAGGATGGAAAGAGGCCAGAAAGGGAAACATGATGTCTCATTTATTTGTATATAGGAATTCAGATATGGAGAATTCACGGATCATCTAGCTCAGCTCTTTCATCATTCAGAATTAATCTACATTCCAAAGAGAGTAAATGATTTTACCTGAAGTCACAAAAGTTGTTAGTAAGAGAACCAAGCTTTGAACCTAAATCCATGACTTCAAAAAAATTCTGATAACTATTTTTCAATATAGTTTGGTTTCCAGTTAGAATCCTGTGTATTTTCTTTTACGCTTCTAAAAACATTCTGAGACGTGATCCATAGGCTTCACTAAACTACCAAAGTGAGTCTATGACACAAAAAAGGTAAGAACTCCTGGTCTAGAAACAGGGCCTGAATCAAAGATGTCAGCATGGCTACACAACAATTAATGTGGAAAAAAAGAATTGAGGGGTTTAGTGAACTCCAAGATCAACATGAGTCAACAGATGCACTCGGCAGTCAAAAGCGCTGATATGCTTATCTGAAGGGCAGTCACATGGAAGCAGAATTAAATTTGTCCTGGTTGACCCCAGAAGACAAGACAAGGACTATGGAGATTTCAGCTTGACATGGGGAAAATTTTTCTAAGAATGAAAGCTGTCCAAATTGGGGTCACCTCACCTTGAGATCTTCAATCTAAGGCTGGGTGACACTTGTTGGTTATCCTTTAGAGAGGGGAAAGAATTCTTAAAATGTAAATTGGGCTGGCTGATCTCTGAGGTCTCTTCCAAATGAGATTCAATAACCTCAAAGCTAGTGTTTTCTTTTTCCTTTTCTCCTATACTTATCTTCCAAAGAATATGGCATAATAGATATTAATAATAAACAGTTGTTATATTAAAAGAAATATAATTTAACTGAATTGAACATTAGTACGAAAAAGGATCATTTAGTGATTTAGTCCAATTCCTCACTTGGAAGAAATTTAGGCTAAAAGTCAAGAACAAGCATTTATTGAGCACTTACTAGGTACAAAGTGTTGATGCTAAGTCCTGAAGATACAAATAGAAAAAACACTACCTGGTCTCAAGGAGCTCATATTCTCAGCAGCGGAAGACAACACATATTGGACGTTTCAAATGCAGGTTAAATGGAAAATCTAGTGGTCCTTAGGTT